GTGTGCACCTGCTGTGTGCACCTGTGTACACCTGCTGTGTGCACCTGCTGTTCACATCTGCTGTGTACACTTACTGAGTACACAGGGCCCCATGCTAGGAAAGTAGCTTTCTGGAGCTCTCAACCAAGCTAGGGACGATGATCTTGTGGGTGACAAGTTACCAGTTAAAAAACTCCAGGTGATCACTGGAGTCTGGAGGGAGAGACTGCTCTCCCTGTCTCCTGATAAGACAGCAGTTCCTTCCTTCCCTCATTCAACAGAAAACTAGTCCCCGCTGGTACCTAAACAGCAGAAGCTCAACTTCTGTCACCTACTATCAACTCTGTTGTCAAAACTAGAACCTGTAGAGTCCCTGCAGGTGTGGCTGTGTGTATGTGTATGAGTGTGTGTGTGAGTGTGTGTGAGTGTGTGCATGTCTATTTGTGTATGTGTGTATATGTGTGTGAGTGTGTGTATGTGTGTGTGTGTATGTGTGAGTGTGTGCATGTCTATTTGTGTATGTGTATATGTATGTGTGTGTGAGTGTGTGTATGTGTGAGTGTGTGTATGTGTGTAAGTGTGTGTATGTGTATATGAGTGTGTATGTATGTGTGAGTGTGTATGTATGTGTGAGTGTGTATGTGTGTGTAAGTGTATATGAGTGTGTATGTGTGTGTGCATGTATATGTGTGTAAGTGTATATGTGTGTATGTATGTGTGTATTTGTGTGTGTGTAAGTATATATGAGTGTGTATGTATGTGTGAGTGTGTGAGTGTGTGTGTTGCACGCATGTGAGCATCCCCATGCAGCGGTGCAGGTGTGGAGGTCAGAGGACAACTCTATGATCAGTTATGAGGGTGGAACTCAGGACATTGCACTTTGCTGAGCCGTCTCATTGTCATTCGCCTTATTTTGAGGTTGGCTCTCACAGAGCCTGCGGCTCCCCGCTTCAGTCTACTGGCTGGCTGGTGAACCCCTGGGATACTGCTTTCTCTGCCTCAGAGCTGAGTTACAGATGCCTGTTGCCACATCCGGCTTTGAGGAATCCAATCTCAGGTCCTCATCCGGCATGAGATTTCCGACAGAACCATTTTCTAGCGCTCTCTCTCTCTCTCTCTCTCTCTCCTGCTAGGCCAGCAGCGGCAGGAGGAAGCTCCTTCCCTTCCTGCCTGTCCTCACCTTCCCAGAGCCCTCCTCTTTCTGGCTCTTTGCCCCTTCCACACTAAAGGTTTCTTTGTTCCCACCAGGACTAACTGTCCTGCAGTGAGTTTGTGTGTTCTCTTCTTCCTCCTCCATTTTTTTTTTTTGGAGACAGGGTTTCTCTGTGTAGCCCTGGCTGTCCTGGGACTTGCTCTGCAGACCACACTAGCCTTAAACTCAGAGGTCTGCCCACCTCTGCCTCCCAAGTGCTTGGATTATAAGCAGGTAGTCACCACCGTGCCCAGCTTGGGGCTTGCACTTTCAATGGCAGACATGTGCTTTGGCTTGGCTGTCTGTGAATATCTTAGAATTCCTGGCGACACAGAGGAAGGACTGGCCTTCTTTTCACTTTGTAACAAGTCCAGCCATCCAGGGCTCCCTGACCCTGACCCACCTTTAAAGAATCCAGCTGCTAGCTTCTGTACTGTCCAGTCTGATGCTCTCACATCTCTGAGTTCTGCCTTTTATATCTTTATCTGGTCCCTCCTGGGCCACCGCTCTCCTGTGCTGGGAAGTTAAGTCCCTGAGTGCAGGGTCTGTCCTTTCTCTCCACCATGTGCTGGCTGAAGGTGGGTAGGCTTTGAATATTGGCCAAATGCATGGATGAAACCAGCAATGTATACCCTCTTCAGGCAAAATCTGCATTCTGAGGACATGGTAAATACGTGGACAAACGTGGAAATCGATGGATGGATGGATGGTGGGTCAATGGGTAGACACATGAGTAGGTGGATGGATGGATGGATGGATAGATGGATGGGTGGGTGGGTGGATGGGTGGGTGGATGGATGGATAGATGGATGGATGGATGGATGGATAGATGGATGGATGGGTGGGTGGGTGAGTGGGTGGGTGGATGGATGGATGGATGGATGGTGGTTGGGAAGACAGATATATGGATGGGTGGATAGATGGACAGGTGGATGGATGGGACAGTGGATGGATAGATGAATAGATGGAAGGGAGAATAGATAGATGGATGGATAGATGGATGGATGGATGGATGGATGGATGGGCAGACAGATAGATATATGCATGCGTGGACAGATGAATAGATGGAAGGGAGAATGGATGGATGGGTGGGTGGGTGGATGGATGGGTGGATGGATGGATAGATGGATGGATGGATGGATAGATGGACAAATGGAAGATAGATGAACAGATGGGTGTGTGATTAAACAGATGGATGGGCAGGTGGAAGGATGGGTGAATGGATGGGTAGAGGAATAGATATATAGATGAATAGGTTGATGGATATTGATCCTCTTTGGCCCTTCCCTGGACTTGGTTGGTCCCCGAGAGCTGAAATTCTCACACAACTCATAGAAACAGAGTCAACGAGCACATCACAGGGTGTGACAAAAACAGTCTCTGAAATGCATTTGGGAAACCCCCGGATGCAGGAGAACCCATCCTGTGCTTCATGCATAGTGGGTCTGGTGTAAGATGCTCAGGCTCAAAGCTGCCACCGTCCTTGTTCTCCTGTTAGGGACACACGATGGTGCTGACTGCATGCAGTGGGATGGATGGAGTGGGACAGGACAGGTTCAGCATCACGACACTGCCGTGCTGAGTACAAGGCTGTGAAATGGAGCGTTCTTCACCGGTGCGAGCCTCCTTACCTGCAGGCCTACTGCACAAACATCTACGTGATAACGCAGAGCACAGCTTTGCTTTTCTAAAATACACGTTCAAAGTCCCAAAGCACACTGGGCTCCGGGAGTTCAAAGAGAGGACCATGCACTGTGTGTCCTGGGCTGGGGCATTCTTCAGCACACATGGGCACAGAAAAGGCTGGGATTTCACAGTTGCACTGTGTGTGTGTGTGTGTGTGTATGGTGGCATGTGTGTGGTTCTATGTGCAGTGTGTGTGGTATGTGTGATGTTATGTGTTACTGTATGTAGTAAGTGGTCATGTGTGTGTATGTGGTGTGTGCAGTATGCGTACGGTTGTGTTGAGTGTGAGTGTGTGCGTGCACACGTGCGTGTGTCACAGAGTGTGTACAGAGGTCAGAGGGCAACATTCTGGAGTCAGTTCTGCTTCTCCCTTGTGAGTCCTGAGGATTGAACTCAGGCTGACCAAGGCTGACCTTGAACTCCTGGCCATCCGGCTGCTGGTCTCCCAAGAGCCGGGGTCACAGGCACGTGTCTCCATAAGCGGTTTACACGTTGCTGGGGAATGCAGCTGGGCTTCCGGTGAGTTGGGCAAACGCGACAAGCTGAGCCGGAGCATTGCCTGATAGGTTTCTTTTTGGTGAAAGCAAATTGTACGATGGTTTTATATAAGATCAGAAACTGCAGGGAAGAGATTCGATCCAGGTCACACTGGCGGGTAATGACAGGCCAAACTTGTCAATACACGGCTTTCCACCCCACAGCCAGCTGCTCACCACCAGCCCCTTGCTGACCTATCTTGTCCCTGACCACTGTAACACCCCAAAGTTAAATTTAGCTGCTCACAGGACAAGAGAAAGACTTAAAAAATGAGGCAGGATCACAGTCCGATTTGAGCTGTTTCATTCAAAAGCACAGCTGTTTGGGGAGGGTGACTCATACCTGTAATCCCAGCACTTTGGGAGGCTGAGGCAGGAAGGTCAGGAGTTCAAGGCCAGCCTCAGCTACATGAGATTCTGTCCAAGGGGAAAAAAAAAGAGCTAAGGGGTGGAGCGGGGGCACAGGCCGTTGGTGTTTGCGTGAGGCAGAGAGGGACACCAGGTTTGTAGTCCTTCCTCCCCATCTGCTATTCCTTAATATTAAATACAAATAGAGGAAAATAGAGTCCGGGCGTCAATATACCATAACAACACTGAGATCAAATCTCTCTGTGTACTGTGACTTCCTTTCTCCCGCCAAAAAGAATCCAGTCGAATCCATATCAAGCTTGCTTGCTGCTGTTGATCTCACGTCCGGCTGTGTGACCTTCTGTCCCTAGAACCCGGGGTGAGAGTCGCAGGCGCATTTCACACTGTTAGCAGGGAAGTTAGAGTAAACATGGGAGTGCTGAGGGAGTGCCGGGAGATTAGCGATAAAAACCTCCCTGGTTCTTCTGCAGGATCCTGAGCTGGGCGGGGAGGGCTGTTTTGGGTATCTTCATTTCCTCTGTTTGATGTGGTTACTTTAAATTGGGTCAGCCGGAGGATGGATACTTTTGGATACTGGTTTGAAACTTCGAAAAAGAGAGACATGGGAGGCAGAGGCAGGTGGATTTCTGAGTTTGAGGCCAGCCTGGTCTACAGAGTGAGTTCCAGGACAGCCAGGGCTACAC